AAGCTTTAGGGAGAGCCGGGCAGTATCTCATTGGAGAGGGGTGCATGTGAGGGGGAGAGAGGATGGCTCTAGACTGGTGGCTGAGAAAGGTCAAAATCAAGAACACCAGGGCTGGGGGCAGCCTTTAAGTTCTTCTCCAGCTCACCCATTACACAGATGGGAAATGGAGGCCTACTGGGGTCTGTGGCTTGCTTGTCTGAAGGCATAAAGGAGCTGGTGGCAGAAGTGGATTAGAACTCATCATCTCCCAGTGAGTGCAGGGGGAATGTTTGGGCACCTACACTTTCCATAGGAAAGGCCTCTTTAGGCACCAGAAAGGGGAAGCTAAAGTTAGGGCTCTAGCTGGGGAAGAAGGAAGGAGGTCCTGAGGGAAGATTCTGGGTGGGAGATTATAGTGGGAGATGTGCCACTTTCCAGGCAGGAAGAGGGAGGGGTGACTTTGTCAACATCCCCAGCAGCCTGGGGCTGGGGACACAATCCCTGATGCGAGAGGAGGGATTTGGCAGAGACACCAGAATGAGGGGCAGACAGCCGTAACCTGGTGTATGTGGAGGCAGGGGATTGGATTTGATGACCTTGGGTTCAATAAGCTCCAAATGTCACTATTATCGTCATTGTCACCGTGGGCTTGGGTCCACATTGCTTGGGTTCAAATCTCACTGTGCTACTTATTCTTGGTGGACCCTGAGAGACTGACTTGGTCTCCTACTCCACAGTTCTATATCCATCAAATGAGGATAAATAATAGTACTTATGAAGTATTGCCGTCAAGATTAAATGAGATAGGAGCACCTGGATGGCTCAGTTGGTTGAGCGTCTGACTCTTGATAAATCATGAAGCTAGTCAATGGCAGAGGGGACCTGCCACCCACATCTGCCTGACCCCCCCCAGGCTTCTAATTCTTGATGCAGAAGAGGGAAGTTGTGTGTGTGTGTGTGTAGGTGAGAGTGGTGTGAACTAGACAAATGATATGTTTCATCTCAGTGTTCAAGGGTGTCACATCTAATGCTGTGGAGGACAGAACGTCTCTCCTGGGGCACACGCAGACCCCTTCCCCATTCCCTGCCCAGCCCCAGTATGCCTAACGCTGCCCTGTGCAGCACATGTTTGGTGAATGAGTGAATGAGCAAGTGAGTGGCATTCTCCCTTCTCCTTTCCCTCCTCATGTTCTCTGGTTCCCTCCTGGCTCGCCTCCCCGGCCTCCAGGCCTGCTGCAAAACAAACTCCACTTGACTTCCTCAACAAGACTCCATTGCAGGGAGGCAAAGGCTGAGATGCCTTCAAGAAGCAGAGGCTTACAAAACAAGCCCCAGGCTGTCTCTGAGGGCAAGCGTCAGGAAGAAGAGAGCCCCAGCCCGGCCAGCACAGGGGGACTGTGGGAGTGGGGAACGTGGCTGGGGCAGGATTGAACTGTGTCCCTCCAAGTTCACAAGCCCTAACCCCCAGTGTGATTGTATCTGGAGATAGTATTTTTAGGAGTTCATTAAAGTTAATTGAGATTAGAAGGGTGGGGTCCTAATGCTAGAGACTTGGTGGCTTTATTAAGAAGAAGAGATTTCCCTCTCCAGGAGCACACACTGAAGAAAGGTCCATGTGCACAAACAACGAGAAGGTGGCCATCTACAAGCCAAGAAGAGAGCTCTCACCAAAACCCAAACATGCTGGCACCTCACGCTCCGGAACTGTGACAAAGTTTAAGTGTCTGTTGTTTAGGTCACCCAGTATTGTGTTACGGCGGCCTGAGGAGACTAATATCAGGGGGACTGGGAGGGAGGTCCTGCTCTTTCCCACGTGGCCCTTCAAGTCATAGGAACCCAGGACCCAGGCCTAGATCAGGTAGGCTCCTGTCCCAGCCTGTCTCCTTAGGCTCTTATCCCTTTCCTGGCCTGAAGTCCAAGTTCTCACAGCTTCCTCTTTCAGTCACACTTCTCCCCAACCCAGGCCTCAGGTCCTGTCTCCTGCCCCCACAGCCCTATTTCTAAAGCACAAATCTGGTCACTTACTCCTTGGCTGAAAAGCCTCTGGCGTCTCCCCATTGCCTACAGAATGAAACCCAAGCAGGTTGCCATGTATAATTGTGCATTGCACAACCTGTGCAACTGTACACAAAGGGTCTTGAGCCCAACCTCATTCATTCATTCACTCACTCATCCATGCGTTTAACAAGTATTCATTCCCTAGACATTCTCAGCTTAGAACCCAAGTTTCTTGATAATCTGGCTCCTGACTCTCCTTTGCTTCCTCTCTCACTTACTTCCTTGGGTACCATATACTTTAGCCACACTGAACATGGTACCATCTCATACCTGTGTGCTTCACGCACAAATTCATCCATCAGCTTGTCTGAGAATGCAGAGGCAGAACGGGCCCAGATTTGGAATCCTATTTCTCTGCCATTTCCCAGCTAGGAAAATATGGGCAAGTTAACCCTCCGAGCCTCAGTAAAATGGGATTAAACATATATAGTGTGCCTTACATTGTACTTAGCACGTAAGAGCCTCCATGGTTTCTTTGCACGCTAAACTCCTTTTCATTCTTGAAGACCCAACTCGAATGTTACCTCCTTGGTAACATTGCCCTCATTCCCTCCAAATGGATAAAGTTTACATTCCCTATTTCTACTTTTCCTGCCAGCCCCACATGGCACTCACACACCTCGGTTAGAACGCTGTTGCACTGATCTATTTTCCCAGCTCACATGAACAAAGCATCTAGCCAGAAAACCCTTGTTGCATGAAGCCAGGCACCAATCTCTGGGTTGGAAGCCCTTCACCTCCCAGTCCTGTCCTGGTTCCAAGCCCTCCGCCTGTTGGATAGCTTGAGAGTTCAGGACAGGAGGTGGAGGATGAAAGAGCAGAGGTGAGCAGACAGAAGAGTGGAGGGGAGGTGGCGGCGTGAGGGTGCTTCAGCCTTCTGGGGAGGTCACTCTGTAGCCAGAAAAGAGGCAGGGTTTAGAGAGGGTGGCAGTCTGAGGCTTGAAAAATGATTGGCAGTGCAGGTGGCTGCCCCTCTCCCTTCCTATCGATCCGAACTGGGCTTTGCTGTGGGTCCAGCCACCTGGGGAAATTACAGGGGACAAGAGTGAGAGAGAGGAAGGTTTTTCTGTAAAGAGGGAGATGATGGGTTTGAGGCAGGAGGGTCAAGAAGAAATGGGTTGGCGAGGGACAGGAGAACCCGGGGAAGGAGGGTGAGGGAGGGGTGGGTGGGTGGTATATGTGTGTGTAGACAGCAGGATGGGGAGGGTAGAAAGTTGGGAGGGGTGACATTGGAAGATACTGGGGAGGGAGGCTTCAGACCAAGGGCTACAAGTCCTGGGACCTCCTGAACAGAAAACTCTTGGGGTATGAAGACCCCTCCCCTCCTGGCTCCCGGCTTGGTGGCTATCTTTCCTCCCCTCTGCTCACCACCCCTCCTATCCTTGCTGGGCTGGCTGCTCTGCCCATCGGCAAAAGTCTAAGTCAAGTTCTTTGTTAAATGTTCCTGGAGGAAAGATGAGCTGTGGTAAATGCACCAGAGATATTACCTTCCATGGACTCGGTCCAGGGCCAGGCTGAAGGGGGCTGGGGTGGGAGGTTGGAATTGAAGTTTGGTAGTGGGAGGGGAGGCAGGGCTTCTCAACAGCGATTCAAGGCCTTTGGGAGGGTCTCTTCGCAGGCCCTCCAGGGCAGCTCCTGTCACTGGGTCACAGAACTCGGCCTGAACAGAAGACGCAGCTCCCCTTCCTAAGGCCCCTTAGGAAAGTAGATTTCCTGAGGCCCCTCCTATACCACTTGGCAAGGCTTGGACTGCCAGCTGGCAGAAGCTAGTCGTAGAACCCCCAGGCCCAGGGTGGGATGAAGCCATTGTCTATTTCTCTAGGGCTGAGCTGGTAGCTCAGGGCTCATCTAGGTTCAGAGACTCTTCTCGACTCCACTCATGTTTCTGTTGCCTCTCCTTGCCCCTGAGGGAGCCCGAGTGAGACCTTGGGATCTGTCAGGGGGGCCACACAGACTCACCTTCAGCCCTGGGACAAGGGCGAGATCTCAATTCTCTGTCCTCCTGGCAGAATGGCAGGCAAGGAGTCACGAGGAAGAAAGCCGCATGTGTGGGCCATGTGGGGGACACAGAATGGCCAAAGAGATGGCTTATGAAGGGAAGCCAATGCAGACTGTGCTGCTGTGGCCAGGGGTGTAGGGGGGAGTGTTCTCTATGACATAGCCATCACCTGCCAACTCAGGGCCCCTCTCTGTTCCGGTCTCCACCTCTGAGCGGGCAGCCCCGAATGCCTTAGAACCAACTGTTATGCCAAGACAGACACTTTATTTTCCATGAGAAGTACACAGGCACCCATGGGTAAAAGGGGGGGCTCTCTGCCAGCCTCCTGAATATGACCTTCAGAACTTGTCTAGTGTTCTCCACTCTCCAGGGATGGGGCAGTGCCTGAGCACAGGCTGGGCGGGCTGCTCTCAGCCAGTCCCGCCAGCCCAGGGCAGCCTCAGTCCGGTTTGGTTTCCTGGGTTGAAATCCCAATCCGTCAGGCCCAGCTTTGGCCAAAGATAATGATAACAATGGGGTGGCAGGGCCCACAGCTGGGAGGGGGCAGGCATTTGCTCCTTGTAGAACAAAAGTGGGCTTCTTCTCTGAGCCTCCTCTTCCACCCTCACGGTGTGGTTTTCTTAGGACCCCAGACCTGTTAGACAAAGGATTCCAGCTTCTTGGGAGTCTTGACCGAGGTGGGGGTGGGGGAAAGACTGCCCAGCTTCTCCAAACCTCCTGAGTTGGCGGCCTGTCTGCATTCATGACTCTCTGCTGCCCCCGTGTGGCTGTAAGACCATAGATGCCCTACTGCTGGGCCTGTCTGGGTGTCTATGTGTGTGTTTTGGGAAGCAGGGGGCACTCAGCAGGACGGGAGCTGAGGCAGAACCAGAGAAAGCTGGCCCTGGCATCTGCTCTGGAGAGCAGAGGGTCTCCCTGCCCCCACCTCCCTCCCGTGGGTTACATAAGTAACATTAGGGCAGTTGTGACACCAGCTGGAGGACACTTGCTTACCAAAAAATTGAGAGAAAAGATGGGGCTGATACTCATTTGCAGTGGTGGGAACTAGACATCAAGGATGTGAGGGCAGCTGGGTGGTCTCTGACCATGAGGACAAGATCCCCCTTGCTAAGCTGCCCTGACAACTGTGGCCACATTGGCCTAAAGAATCCAGGGCAGGCAGATCCTGCTTTGTCCTGGGAACAGCTGCCCAAGAAGCCATTATGGAAGTGGGGAAAGGAACAGATATGGAGGGAAATAGAGTCCGTCCATCCCTCCTTTGGTCGATCCTTGCATATCACCTCTCCCAGGTCAGTGTTGGGCTAGGGGCCCATGGGTCCCAACCCAGCACCTTCTGTTTGCCACGACAGAGGGTCGCAGGTCTCTAACTCAGGCTTCTGCATTGGCAGTGTCCAAGTTGATGGAGTCAGGGGTCCTCAGATGTGGGCGTGCTTCAGAATCACAGGGAGCTTGTTGAGATGCCATCAAAGTCTGAGAAGCACAGCTGGTCCTGTCTATTGGCCTCTTTTTATGGTTGAGGAAACTGAGACCCAGCTGGGTCTGGATGAAGATCACTGCTGACGGTCATTAGGTTTCCAGGGTTTCAACTTGGTACCGTTCTCCCCAGTCCAATATATTGGCTCATTAGTGTGGCCACAAGCCCCTGCTCAGGGGTTCCAGCCCCCTTTGGATGTCCAGGAAGGTGCACGGGAAGCTCCCTCCCTCTACATCCTTTCTGTGTCCTGCAGCAGGGCACCCACCAGGCCGATGACCTGGGAGGCTGGCTGGACTGTGTCATACTCCGCAAACAGGTGGCACACATTCTCCTGTGACTCTGTCTGGCTCTTGGCCACAAACCCGAAGATCCTGGTGGGAGAACATAGCCTGGGTGAGGTGGTGGGGCCCAGAGAGGCTGGGAGGGGTGATCTCAGCTAGTACGGTGCTCTGCCCTGCCCCTTCCCCAGCTCTCTGAGGGTAGGATGGGCCTCCTCTGTCAGACTGGGAGACCCCCGAGTTCAAGATCTAGGTAACCCTCCTTTTGAATGGTGGCTCCATGAGGACAGGACCTGCATATTCCTCATCAGAGTGGAAGCTTCCTGAGGGCAAGGATGTGTCTTGACCATCAGACTGGGGCATCCCCATCGATTAAGGCTGCCTGAGGTTAGAGCCTGTGCCTCCTACATAAGACCGAGGGCTCCCAGGCTCATGTCTCCCCCTTCAGACTGGAGGCTCTCTGAGGACCCGGGCCTGTGCCACCCCCATCAAAACCATGGGTTCTCTTAAGGTCAGGACAGGGCCTCCTTCCTTTCCCGAGTTCTTCCTCTTGTTGGGTCCCAGGTTCTGGCCCAGGGAGACCTTTTATGGTGACTGACAGGACACAGGGAAGCCTTACCAGGAGGGCTTGCAGTACTTTTGCCACCTGTGGGAAAGGAAGAGGGACAGGAATGAGTATTGAGGCTTCTCTGCATTCCACAGGACTCTGGCTGAGCAGCTGGGGACAATGGCCAGCTGTGACCACACCCCACCGGGTCCCACCCTCCCCTCATCCTGTTGCTCCCAGCCCCTCGAGGTTCACAGGCTTTGTCTGTGACCCCAGTCCCAGAGTCAGCAAGAAACCTCAGTGGGCAGCTAGGCCCTGGATGGCTTTGTGAGTTTGGCCCAGACTTGAACTTACTTCCGTTGCTCGGGGTCCATGCCACAGAAGCGGAGGGTGGTGAGGGGGTAATGGCGCCGGAAAAACACCCTGGAAGAGAAGGACTGCTGGTGAGAGCCTGTCCCAGTGCCATGTCCTACCTCCATCATCTCTAGCTCTCCCGAAGTTCAGATGCCCTGCTCTCCAAGAAGCCTCCCAATTAGACCCCTTACAGCCTGCTGTGACCTTTCCCACTGCTGGGCCTTGGGGCACATGTTTGCACTTCTCTCTTTTCTTTCCTTTTTTTTTTTTTTTTTTTTTTAGATTTTATTTATTCATTTGAAAGAGAGAGAGAGAGAAAGAGCGCTCCAGCGCAGGGGCAGAGGGAGAGGGAGAAGCAGACTCCCCGCAGAGCAGAGAGCCCAATGCGGGGCTCGATCCCAGGACCCCGGGATCATGACCTGAGCCGAAGGCAGACACGTCACCGACTGAGCCACCCAGGCGCCCCAGACTTCTCTCTTTTCATGGAATGAATCTGCCTTGTGTCCTATATATTCAGGTTTTCTACCCTCTCTCCTCTGCCCCCTGCCCACTGTGTCATTTAACTGCTTGAGGAAAGGAATGATGTCTTGCTCATCTCTTGTTCCTCCAGCCCAGGGCCAGGATCCTGCCAGACTGTGAAGCCCTGAGCCCGGGGAAGGAGTGATTTCAGCCACTGTGTTGAAGTGGGCAGCCAAAGTCTGGCGTTCTGCAGTTGTTCCATCAGTGGATGAACCAGTCTGAACCAGTGTCCTGGAAGGGGGACTTTGGGACGAGGTTCATCAGTGGATGAACCAGATTGAACCAGTGCCACTGAAAGGGGGACTTTGGGATGGGGTCATTGGCGTGAGGACCAGAGAAGGCAGAGAACTTGCCTGGAGTCACTCAGCAAGTCACTGACCACATTGGGTCCAGAATCCTGAATCCTACCTTCATCACTGATCCACGGCCATCTCAGCCATCCCCTCCAGATCCCCCTGCCCCGCCCAGCAGCCCCAAGGCAAGGGAAGCCCCTTACTTCCTCTGGACATCGGTCAGGGTGATGCCTTGCTCCGTGACTTTGAAGTGGACCACGGTGGGTGTGGGGAGGACGTCCCTCTTAAAGGTGGTTGAGATGGCCTTCCGCACGGCCAGGGCTCCACTCAGGGTCTCTACACTCACAGAGGTCAGATACAGGGCATGGCAGCCTGGGGGATGTAAATGCTGTGCTTAGGCCTTGCCAGGATCCACCATGCAGGGGCAGGTAGGGTCCCCCAGGCCCTGGTCCTCCTTCTGCCCAGAGCTGGCGTCGGGGCTCTTCCTTCTTCAGGAATCCAGTGGGGCTCCTCTGAGCCACCAGGCAGGCAGGCAGGACTGTGTAGGTGACTGCAATTCAAGGCCAACCCCAGAGGATGTTGGGAGCATCTGTGGCTTTGCATTGCTCTGGCCTTTGGCCCTCTAGGGTGGAGTAAAGCTGTTGCCCTATGTGTAGGGATGTCCAGGCAAACCTTCCTTCTGTCCAGAAGCATGGTTGGCACTGTCTCTACCTCCACCCACCCCGGGGCCCTGGTTCATTGCCAAGCGAAGGTGGAGAAGACAAGAATGGGGGGAGGGCACTCGGACAAGTGCTGATCTATGCCTGGCCTTTGGACTTGACACTCCACAGAGGATCCCAGACCCAGAGATCACTTCTAGGGCAGGTCCCTCAGAACCAGAGAGGCCCCAGCATGTCCACATGTGCCCATGAGTGTGCAGGATGGGGTGTAAGCCACACCAACCTCCCTCTCTCCTGCCACCCCCACGGGCTCCCCCCACCCAGGCTTGCAGCCTCTCACCTCCAGGTTTATAGGGATGGGGAGGACCGCGGGGCACCTTGTTAAGGACGAAGAAACAAAGCTGTAGTGGGAACATGTGTGGACCTGCATGTACAAGTGTGTGCGTGGGGTTGGGAGGGGCCCTATGGGGGCTCAGGCAAGCCTGGAGCCTCCCCCATGCCACTTACCTGCAGATTTCTTCAGGTGAGAGGCCCGGCTGTCTGTAGTGGGGCCTGAGGAGTCTCCAGCTCCCAATTCTGAGCCAAAGCAAAGTAACAGTCCCCAGAGGGGGTGGGGGTGGAGTGAACGGGACTCTTCTCATAGGAACATTAATCCCCTTGAACATCTCCCACCTCCGCCCCCACCTTCAGGAAGCAAGCCGTTGAGAAACCTGGTGTGATTACCATAATTAGACAAACGGGGCCACTTGGGGCTCCCCAGATGCCTGACTTGCAAGCCTTTTGGTCCCTCTTTTGCCTCCTCACTCCTCCAGCCCCTGGACTGCTGCAGTCACCTGGTCCTCAGAAGCCTCTCACCTCCTCCCTTCTTTCACACCCCATCCCAAACCCAGGCCTTTCTTTGCAGAATGTAGGGAGGCTTTCCCCATCACCACACTGGGGGCTCCCCCTGCCCTGACTCCACTCCCAGAACCCCTCTTCTGCTCCTCCTGCACACCCAGGGATCATCTACTCCAGCTGCTGATGCGGCTGGGCTGTGGGCTCTGGATGGGACTTCCTGATCTCAGTTTGAGGTCTGATCTGTGTGCCTTTGGGCGAGCTACTTAGCTCCTCGAGCCCTCCTTTTCTCATCTGTTAAATGGGGATAACACCTATTTGACACAGTTGTGGTGAGGGATGTGTGAATGAGGGAGTGCCCAGTAAAGGTTGGACCCGGAAGAAAAAAACAACCCTCTCCAAACTGGCTGACTTACGTTCCTTTCATCCTCTCAAAGAAGGCTCCTATTTATCAAACACGTACTCTGTGATAAGAGCCTTGCCTGGACCGGCTCATTTAACCCCCAACCAATCCTTTAAGTAAGTATGATGATGGCTGTCCCCATTTCATAGAGGAAGAAACAGAGGCTCAGAGGGGTCGACATTCTCAAATTCTCAAGCCAGGAAGTGAAGATGCTGATGGATGCTAGGTGAAGCACTTTTAACTGTGACACTAATCCATAAATAAGGTGGGATGTGACCACTAGGAGCCTTTTTAGTTCCCCGGGGTTGCCTCTTTGGGGCCCAGACCCACCTTTCTGTGGGATGGTGAGTTTGCAGGGCAGGGCCAGGGCCATGATGGAATGCTGGCACACAAAGGCAGAGAGGCTCCCTGCAAGGAAACAGGCAGCCCTGCGTGAGAAGGCTTTCCCCAGACCAGTCTCCCAGCCCAGAAGGGTGGGGCCCACCCAGGGGCCTGCAGGCTGGAGAGGCTCACCAAAGTAGGGCTCCTCGTCTGCTCCTTTGAGATGCACCCCTTTGGCGGAAGACTCGATGAGGAAGTGGCGGATGAGGTCACTGTTGTCCTCACCTGGACAAAGATAGAAGAAAGAGCGCATGTGGATGGGGGTTCCAGAGCCCAGTGTTAGCTGAACACTGACCAACTCGTTCCCTGACCCGTCTCCTCCCGGTCCATCCAGAGGTTAACTGGTTTGTTCCCCTGCCTAGGGGTGGGTGGGACTGCTAGGGGGAACCCTATCTTCAAGGCCTCCCACAAAGGAGGTGCCAACATGTTTGCTCAAAGGTTTCTGCGTCCAGTAATTCTCTCAGGAGAACTTTCTCTTGGTCTCAAGGGCTACTGGGGATGGTCCCAGTGACTACTAAGATCAAATCTTAATCCTTCAGCCTGATTTCTCTCTTCGTCTACCCACTCCTTCCCAGGTACTGTGATTCTTCACCAGATGGTCCCTGCTGGAGCTAGGCTGGCCCTGGAGGGTGAACAGTGCCCCTCTGCCTCTTCTTCACCCGCCCATGGTTTCCTTCTCTCTGTGCTCGTTGGCAAGGCGTTCTTGATAACCAATACTGCCCCGAGGTCACTTTCTTATTTAACCAGAGCAGCATGGTGTAGAGAGCATGAAGTTGGGGTTTTCATCTTTGCTCTCGGGGGGTGGTGTCATTAACTAACTCTTGGAACCTATTTACCTGATCCTTTTGTTACATGAGAGCTATACTCCTGGGGTTTGGGGAGGGGCTGTAACTTAGATACTTTGTACTATAATGATCTGTTTTTATCTATCTCCCTAGCGAGGTATCCCAGTGCAGGGTGCATGCCCCAGAGATGTGTGTTGTGTGTGTGAGACCACGGGAAAGCATGTGCTAAGCTATCACATGTGTGATAAACTAGCACATATGTGATAAGCTATCACGCACATGTAATAAGCCAGTGCATTCACTCAATAAGCTATCACACGTGATAAACTGTCACATACACGTGGTAAGCTAGGGCACACACGTTATTACTACATTAGGTTCCTTCACAATAAAGCTGGTCTGGACAGCGAAGGTGGGGGGTGGGCAGAGGAGAGCATCCTGGAGAGGGGCTGGGAGCTTCCTCCTCTTCCCCCCATGAGAGCAGAGCAGGGAATCTGGGGACTCCCAGAGGCAGAGGAAGCTCAGGCTTGCCGTGGAAGGAGCTCCTTACAGAGTGTCTGGTGCAGGAAGGCAGCTGGGAGAGGGCTGACCCTCCTCCCAGGAGTACTTATGGGCCTGCTGCAAGGTAGCAGTGGAGAGCTGGGACTAGAACCTACCACAGCCTGTTGCCTCTGTGAGGCCTTGAATGAAGAGACAGGTACGCATACCTGATCGGTTCGGGGCAGGTGCAGGGGCCTCCTGCACCTTCAAGGCAAGGCCAAAGGAGCCTTGGTAGGAAGAACTGTCCCTCACGACGAAAGCCCCTGGCTCCTCTTTCCTCAGCAGCTCAATTGCTGGAACAATCCTTGGGTCAGAGACAGTTACCTCCCCCCCCACCTGGACACCCCTGTCCCCCAGCCCCATAGAATCTTCATAGAGCAGACATTACAGAATCACCTTGTGTTCCCAGGAAGTCCTTCCTATTGTCTAATCTCCACCCTTCCTGCTGCAGTCCCTATTTCCTCAGGACATGAGGTTTGCACGATATCCCCCTTCCCTGGACCTACCATTTGCCATTCCCTCCCCTACCATGACCCAGGGCCCCATCTGCCTGATGCAAGATGCAAGACCCAGACTTGACTCCTGGGTCACTCAACCCTTGAAACAGAGCGCTTCCTTTTACCTTGTTCCCGGGTGATGTTTGGCTTAAACCAGTATTTAGATGTGTCCATCACAAACTTCATGGTGGGCTGCATGTCCCTGGTGGGACCTGGAAGACAGAGAGGGGGGACTCTTTAGGCTGGACCGAGGGGAGCTGAGAGACCCTTCCCCCACCTCTGCGCAGTGGTCCCATTCAACCCACCCTACCCTACCCCAACCCCACTGTATCTCCAACTGCCTACAAGAGGCAAAATCCAACAGAAGAATTCAGGGCTTGGCGCATCTAGGACCTAGGAGTCTCCCCTCGTATCCTTGGAAATAAATCACAAACAGATAAAATCTCAGTTTAATGAGAAACAGTTTCTCAAATCTTGTGTTGTCTGGTGTGGCCTGAAAGAAGGGATAAATAAGGGATTCTGAGATGCATCATGTGTTTGGTTTTACCCTCTCTTCCCCCTTAAGAATCCTACAAGTGTCTTGGGGGGCATGTTCAGTTTGGAAAAGAAAATGAAAGAAAAGTTTGAGGAAAGGAAGGCAGCAGATCTGGGCAGATGAGCCTGTGCAGAAGTCAGGAGACAGGATTCCTGACTCTGATTTGGGACAACTGTCTTGCTCCTGAAGCCCAGAGGGGACTAAGTGTACTAAACCGTCTCTGAGGGTTTTTGACATTCCAATAGCCTAGGCAATTAGCAAGGATTTTGTTTGGAGAAAGTTTGCAGACTTTGATAAGACCCCAGGGTATAATGAGTGATATCCTGGGGCACCACCAAACCAGGATGGGAATATCGCTGGACTAAGTAGATGTGCTCATTGAGATGACAAAATGGCCACTTCCCCGGGTCCCTAAGGCAGAGAACAGTGGTTTTCCATTTTGGTATCCTGAAAAGGTGTGTGCTGTGGCCAGCTGAGAGTAACTCATCATAAAAAAAGGTACTAAAATCTGCAAATGATTTATTCCGGGAAAACGATCAGAGCAGATTCAAAGGCACACCTATATGCCATTTTTCTCTTGCTTACATTGACCTGGCTTCCCGAATGGCAGTGTGGGCCAGAGTGAACATCATAACCCCCAGGAGTCCCCCTGATGCTTGTGGCTGAGTGGGGGGTGGGGAGCAGGGACAGTGTCCCTGGGGCTCTGCAGGGGCTCTTCTCTGGAGAGGTGCACCCTATGGGTGCTAAGCCTGAGCCTCTGTGTTTACTGCTTTGCGTTCTGGCTGGTTTTGTTCTTTTTGGACGCCTGTAGTCACAGACTACGGGAAGGAGGGTGTTTGCTGCTTTGTGGTTTTTAGCTGTCTGAATTGGAATGCATTGTCTCCGTCGGCTCTCTGTGTGTTCGTCATCCACGAACGTCAGAGGTAGGACTGACTCTCCTTCTTCTCCCTCTCTTGCATTAGTCATCAAGCCTGTTGTTTTCATATCCCGAGGGTCTCCTGGCTCTGTCCTCTCTCCTCCGCCCTGCCCCGCCCTGGTGCAGTCCCCCGTTACAGCTTGTCTGGACCACTTCATGATGAAAATCAAAACAAAACTGCTCTCCCTGCCTGGGCCGGGCCCTGCAGGTCATCTGCCATGCAGCTGCCAGAGTTATCTATTGAACATGTACCTCTGACCCCATCACTTTCCTGTTTGAGATTCCCTGCTAGCCCCCGATGCCGCGGCCTAATGGGTAAAATCCACTCTTTAGCGTGGTGTTCAAGACCTTTCCCAATCTTGCCCCAGATTACTCAACTACTTCATCCCACACCCAACACTCCAGTCATTTCTTAAACATGCATGTGCTTCTACACCTTCATGACCATGGACTTGCTGTTCCCTCTGCTGGGAATGCCCCACCTCCCCTGCTCTGGCTCCAGACATTTGATTCAGTTTTCCAGACCCAGCTCAGATGTCACTTCCTCCAAGGAGCTTTCCCAGTTTTTTAGACTAAAAGGATCACGCCTTCCTTTGTGGCCCCATAAGACTTAGGACATCTCTTGCCTTCTGTGGTTTTTCTATTCTGTAGTGATCCTTGGTTTTTGTCTCTTTCTAAACTGTGTCCATCTCTCTGTCCCTACTCTTTGGCAAAGTGCTCGGCACACAGTAGGTATTCAGCGCATTGACCTGCTATTGCAAAAACCCACTGATGCTTTGTCTATCCCCCCAAGCTGAACCTCACAACGGCTGAAGGACTGGTTTACAACATACCCTCTGAGGATGTGGTGAGAGGGGTCTGGCTGTGGCTCCTGGTGGCTGGACAAGACTTGCTGGAAGAAGGGGCCCCAGGTCGGACAAAGTCCTGGTGTCCTGGGATCTGCTGGGATGGGGGAGACTCTGGTTCTGGGCAGCCATTGATCAGCACGATGGGTATGTCCACCATGGAGTTGGTGATGGATGGTGGGCAGCTGTTGGCGTGTTCCTTGGCCAGTGGTGGGGAGTGAGTTGCTCTGGGCTGGCCCATGTTTGGGGTGGGGTTGCTGGGGACCTGGAAGTCACTGGCTCTTGTACCCGGAGACACTTGGCCAAGGCTGTGGAGGCTGGAGGAAGAGCTCGCTGGACTCTCCAAGGATCTAGAAGATGACTGATGGCTGGAGATGCTGGAGTGGAGGAGGGACTGGCTGCTGCAGGGAGGGCACCAGACAGGCAGGGAGTTAGGCTGTTAGTGGACATGCAGAAGTCAGAGCCAGGCTCCAGAATCTACTGATCTTGGTGCCCGTAGCTCTGGTTAAATAGAGTATTGCATACTCCATCCCCCACAGCCCAAAGCAAAGTGCATGCCCACCTGATCCCCAAGCGATGCTGAAGGATACAGAAATGTCTCTGCACTGCAGTCTTTGGTCATTTAAAGTAGCTCATGAGCTGATCCCCTGCAGGTCATGTGGGCTTAGGCTGGACTGGATCCCCTCTGCCTTCCCAGCCGGGCAGGTCTGACTGAGCTATCACACAAGTACCCAACATTCCCAAGAGCCCTGCACGCAGGCTGGACCATGTCCACGGTGGATGCAGAGAGAACTCCCCAGCTGGAGGAAGAGGAGGAGGCCAGCTCTGCATCCAGCGAGACTTCTCTCTGAGTTCAGAGGCCCATGCCAACGGCCATGGCCGTGGAATCCCGGCCTCCTTGCCAAGGACTGCCTTGGCACATCGGCTCTGGAGTCAGTGTGGGGGACAGAGGTCCTGAGGTTTGGTCCTCCTGGACAGGATGGGTGTGTGTGTGCAGCTTTATTTTGTGAGGCCAGCAAACTGGGCTGGGGGGCGGGGGGACAGGCAGGTTCGCCTCCTTCCTGCTAGGTTTTGCTAGCAACAAAGAGGAAGGAGGCTTTTCTTTCCTAAATGGTTTATCCCAGGCCTCCAAATTTTATTTACATCCCTGTGTTTTAAAAAAAATCCCTTCCTTCAGATGGGTTGTATGAGTGCTGGAAAGGATACAGGTCAGCCTCATGAATGTAAACAGTTCTTTTCTCAAGAGGAAGGCATAAATCAAAATTTTTGTTATATTCTCAAAATTTTGAGTTATATTCTAAGTGCCTGAGGAAAGCTTGAGGTCCAAATGGCTGTGATGGCATAAAAGAGAATATTCACTCTTTTGTTTTTGGTGTACAACCTGATTTTGCTCCGATAGAACAGGGTGCCTCTCTATGATTTTTAGGGTGTGTGTGTGTGTGTGTGTTGCAGAGACAATATCAGAAGCTACAGTGGGAGTGACCTACCTTCCGAACACGTAGCTGACATCGGATGCTGGGCTGGCTGACAACACAGAGACCCTGCTGCCCTGCTGTGGGGCCAGGCCCCCCAGCCCCTTCTCCAAGCCTGGAGAAGCTGCCAGTGGGGAGCCCAAGCCATGGGGGCCGGAGGCCTTGTTCCCCATGCCGGGGATAGAGATGCTGGGAGAGGGTGGGGGATGAGAAGAGGGAGCCCCAGAGTGGGGAGGGGGGCGCTGGTGCCCCTTGCCCTGGCTCCCAGAGAAAATGAGGCTCTCGCTGCTGCTTCGAGTCTCTCGGGGGATGTCTCTGGAAAGGAGGAGGCCACCACTGCGTGGGGAACCAAAGGGCGGGGTGACAGATGGGCTGGAGCAGCACTGGGGGCCATCATGACACCTTGATCTGGTGGAGGTCACCTCGATGTACTTTATGTCTGGGGAGAGAGCAGAACACTGGTGAAACCGGGAACCTGGGCTTACAGAACAGGAATGCTGGAAGAGTCCTCAACACCATCTGGTTTCCCCTCCTTTAGACAGATGAGGAAACCAAGGCTCAGAGAGAAGTTTGCTGGATTCGGATTTGCACCCAGCTCCCCTTTCTAGGCACAGCTCCAAAGTCACCCTCCTTGTGATTTCTTCCTTTGGTGGGGAGATGCCTTGGAATGAACACAGGCCTTGGAGTCCGAGAGACCTGGGTTTCAGATCTGGCTCTGCCACTTACTATCAGAGCACTTGGCCAAACGACTTCACCAACTCGAGCTTCAGGTTCCATACCTGTGAAATGGGGTGACTATATATCCAGTCTCTTGGTGCTAGAGTAAGGATGAAATGAGATGAACGTAGGCGGCATAACACTTCTCCTGGCACATGGTAAATACCTTAAAACTAGGAAATCCTCTCCTGCATGAATGTCCCCCTCCCCAGGTTGAAATGACTGCTTAAGGAGGGTGCCAGTCACATTTCTGATGCCTTCTTTGTCCAGGGCAGGTGAAGGCTGTTTCTACATCTGTGCCTACAATGAAGGCAGGGGTTCTCATGCTTGTTTGCACACTAGAATCATCCGATGAGGTTTTAAAAGTCCAAATGCCCAGGCTACACCCTGTGCCAAATAGATCAGAATCTCCGGTGTGGACCCAGACCTCAGGTTGTTTTAGTTTTCCAGCTGATTCCAATGGGCACCAAGCCACAGCACTGCGGCCCCTGGCCCAGCAGTGCCACGCCACCTGGGGGTGGGAGCTGGTCAGATGCGCAGAATCTCAGTTTCCATCCCAAGCCTGCTGAAGCAGAATCTACATTTTAGCAAGACTCCCTGGAATCTGAGTGCACTGTAGAGTTTAAGAACTCTGCTTTAGAGCAGGAGCTCCCAGAGGCCAGGGTTTGCTACATTATCAAGCTGTGGACCTCCCAGGACATGCTTTTAGCTGGTACGCCATTGTTGGTTATTAAACACGGCCGAGGGTGGTGACTCACTCCAGTGCTCTCTCTATTCCTCAGTGGGGGCACCCAGGACTCTTGTTTTGAGAACTTGCTCCTCCCTGGAGTGGGTACCTTGTGGTTTTCCCCACGGTGAGTATGGACACCCCTCCTCCTGACCTGGGGGAGGGGAACTGTCCTTGGTGCTATTCCAGCAAAGGTGGTGGAAGGTGGGGGCTACCTAGCTGCTCCCTCCTGGAGGCCTGTTGAATCCTGCCTCTGGCTTCCCAGGATGGAAACTGGGGCAAAGTCAGAGGGAAACTGCACCTTCAGCTCCTGTCTGCCAGCCTCCCACCACCTTGGGCTTTGGCACATGTACCAACTCCTGCCCACTCTGTGGAATCCCTGCCTGCCCCAGCCCGCTCCTGGGTAGGACCTCAGAGCCTGCTCGCGGTCACTGCCTCTGTCTGAACCTGCTTGGGCTGGGGTTGGGGTGGAGGATTACACCAGATGAAGGGGGGCTGGCAGGCTGACCTGAGCATGCTGTTCCAAGGAGTGTAGGAACAGGCCTGGCTTTGCCGTCAGATAAACCTGGGTGTGAGTCCTGGTTTTGCCACTTTCCTGCCAAGAGGCATCGGCTAACTTTCCTAACCACTGCGAGCCTCAGTTTCCTTATCTGCAAAGTGGGGATCTAAAACCAACCTCCTGAGGTTGTGGTAAGGATAAAAGACACTGATGAATGGTGCCTGGAGCCTAGCCCATGGTGAGCTTTGGAGAACTTCTCCTGCCTGCCTGCTTTTTGAGGCCAGTGTTGGCCAGATGGCTGACACTGTCCAGCTAAGGGGGGAGTCCCACTGCCGAGGGCAAGAGAAGACTATTTGGCACAACGTGTTGTGCGTTCTGAAAGAGTAGCGGTCTTGGAATGGGGTGCATTCTTCTGGAAGGTTGGCAAGCACCACTTCTATTTTTATAGGACTTTATAGTGTTTATACCCATAATCCTCTCAGCTCTTATGCCCACTGCCAGCAGGCACTGATTTTATGGAGAGGAAACTGAGGCTCAGAGAGATGTGGCAATGGAGCTGGCATTTACTGCAGAGTTTTTAATAAAGGCTGGTATTTACTGTGTGCCCACGCCGTTGCAAACATGTTACCTGTATTAACTCACGTAACCCTCACAACAACTCTGTTGAAGTAGAAAACATTATGAATCCCAAATAAGAGATGAGAAATCAAGGCTCAGAAAGGTTAAGTGGGTTATCCAATGTCACACAGCCAGGGAGTGGAGGAATCCAACGCCTGCTCTTGTGCTCTGTTTGGAGGGCGTCTTCTAGGACTCCAGGACGGGGGACTCCTCAGGACACTTTCCCAAGGCCTTGCCCTGTGAAAAGGTGCTTGGCTGCTTTGGGAGAGGGTCTCTCCACCTGGTGAAGCTCTGGGTTTCCTAATCACTGGGTCATCCAAACACCGACCAAAGAAAGGCCTTGCTCGGGGGACTGAGCAAGCAGAGCAGGGTGGGAAGGAAGGAAGGAGTCCTGGAGCTGTGAGTCACCTCTCGCTGCTGCCCTGAGGTGCATGCGGCTAGGGGAGGTGGAGGCCCCCCACACCCTCACCTGGGTGCAGCCACTGTTTACAGGCTCGTGGGGCAAGTCTGAGCAGTGCTGGGTGGATACAGGCGCCAGCACCAGGCTGGGCTGGTGGAAGGGGACACGTGGGTGGGGAGGGGGGCAGAGAGACAGTTATTAAGCACCCTTCTCTTGGGATTGGCAAACAGCCTTGCCTGGCAGAAATTGTTGGAAAATGAAATGTGGGTGCCTGTTCCAAAGATGGGGAGGGGAGGAGTGGCAGAGATGGATATGGTGTTTGCTTGGAATAACCATGCTCCCTGTGGGATGGGAGCCCCCCAGGGTAAGCAAGAGGCAGGGGCAGGGAAGCTGGGGGAGATTTGTGAGCGCTGCAGGAGGAGAGCCCCAGAAGAGAAGCCTGCAGGCTGCCTCCATACAGATTTGTTCTTCGAAGCTCTGGAGGGCAGGAAACTAGCTCCAAAGAAGAGAGAGAAAGGCAAGAACACAGACTTTGGAGGCCAGATGCCCAGGCTTTGAGGCCTGACCTACAACCCACTGGCTGTGTGACCCTGGGTCATTACTTCTTCTCCCTGAGCCTCACTTTCTCATCTGTAAAATGAGGCTACCACTGTTTCCTTCACAGGGTAGATGCTGAGATCATGCACTACAAAATCTATCTATATTTATTTAGGGGAGGGAGAAACATAGGATCACCGATGCTTAATTTTTAATTTTGCCAAGTGAGGACAAAGAGAAAACAGTGAACATCTGCTAGCACCACAATTATAGAACATCTTCCCTTTGACACCCCAAGAGAAGGAAGGATGAGAGGCGAAGGGAGGGCATCCCACACATTTGGATACATTTGGCCCAGTGAAAACTCACCACGGTGCCCAGAACTAGTTAGGTTTCCACAGGCTGGCAAGCGCTTTGTTGCCGGTAGTGGTGGTCTGAGGGGAGGGTTTTGGCAGGTTGAGATGCACGGGACAGGTGCCACCCATCACAGTGACACACTGTTAGCAATCACAACGGTCGCAGGGAAGAACTTTCTAACAGGGAGCTGACTATGCCGGCTGTCTCAGGAGGTAGTGAATTCCCAGGCATCACTGACATTCAGGCAGAGGTTAGAGAAGAGGATTTTCTTATTCCATCAGAAGATGCTAGGGCAGAATTAGGGGGCTTCATCAGAACTCTCTGACCACTGTTGGCTGCCCGCTCATCCCCCGAACCCCTCTGCTACCCAGGGTCAGGTGGACACATCCCCATGATGGCAGGTTGTGTCCAGGGCATCTGAGAACACAGACTACTGACCACTGGCTCCTTGGAGGAAGGGGATGTTGTCAACATCCCTACCCCATACATGTGGACGCTCCACAGAGGCTGGTCTTGCCCCAGCGGGCCTTGAGTGTGTGGAACCCCTGCCTTGGGGCATGAACATTAAAGCCCTGGGCTTGCTCCTGCCAATGGTAATTAGACCCAAGTCACCTTCCCTGCAGAGACATGCCTGTGACCAGCCTCAAGAAGCAGGAAGATCTTGGCGGATAGAGGTGGTTCTTTTAACAGCCCTGGAAGGCAATGCTCAATGGGAGGGGCAGAAGGCAGGCTGGAGACTGGGAACTGGGGCGCCGAAGGACCTGGGTGCTGGGCTCACCTCCATCCCAGACCCTGAGCCTATCCTGGGGCGGGTCCTAAATGCAACCCTAGTGTTTAATTAAACCAGCTGCCATTTATAATGACTAACAGCATGTCAGGATTTCTGATAAACACCCAAGTGTTATTTCTTTTAAACCCTGCAACCCCCTTTGAGGTAAGAACTCCTCTCTATATTACAGATGAAGAATATGAGACAAAGGAGTGAAGTCACTAGCTTGTGGAAAGTTTGCCCACCTCCAGTGATTAGGCTAGACTGGCTCCTTACTGGAGTCCCTCAGCCTCCGTTTTTTTCATCTGTAAAATGGTGATAAAATATTTCACGGGGATAGATTGGGAGGATTAAATGTTCTCCTGTAAGATGTTCAGCACAGAGCCTGGATATAATAAGTGCTCAATAAGTAGAAATTCTCATGGACACTATCTCTAATCCTAATTGTATCCCTTAACCCATGCTGATCCTTTAAACCCCTGGAGACCTCAGTCTTCCAGCCTGTCTAATGGGGTCCTGCTCCTTGACCTTCATCCTCAGAGTACACTTGAAACCCTTTGTTCAGGAAACTGACACCAGATGTAGCGATTTCTAGATTCCCTTGGATGTAGTGGTATATTGAAGTTGGCTTGTACCAGCTCGTAAGAGCTGATTGTTAAATTTTTAGGATTTTGTCCAGCTGATTTCTAAACTCAGACATTATTAAAAATTAAATTACATAAACCTACAATGAAATAACTTACAATAAAAACAAAAGTAATAAATACAATTCATCATATCCCAATTATTTAATTAGATTTTGCTATTATCTAGATTCTTTTTTTTTTTTTTTAAGTTTTATTTATTTAGGGGCGCCTGGCTGGCTCAGTTGGTTGAGCATCCAAGTCCTGGTTTCCTCTCAGGTCATGATCTCAGGGTCGTGAGATTGAGCCACTGCTCAGCATGGAGTCGCTTGAGATTCTCTCCCTCTGTCCCTCCCCCTGCTTGTACGCTCGCATGAGCACACCCTCTCTCAAATAAATAAATAAAATTTTAAAAAAGTTTTATTTATTTATTATTATTTTTAAGATTTTATTTATTTATTTGACAGAGAGAGACACAGTGAGAGAGGGAACACAAGCAGGGGGAATGGGAGAGGGAGAAGCAGGCTCCCCTTCAAGCAGGGAGCCCGACGCGACACTCGATCCCAGGACCCTGGGATCACGACCTGAGCCGAAGGCAGACGCTTAACGACTGAGCCACCCAGGCGCCCCGAGTTTTATTTATTTAAATAATCTCTGCACCCAGCATGGGGCTCGAACTCATGGTCCTGAGGTCATGAGTCGCATTCTCTTCCAACTGAGCCAGCCAGGTGCCCCACTATTATCTATACTCTTGAGATTATTTATATCTATTGTAATGGTATGGTAGAAATACTATATATACCGTAATGGCCATCTACAGGTTATCTCTTTCCAGTACTACATTCAGTGACATCATTTTGGTAGCTTGAGATTGGCCATGCTGGGAGAATCTATACCGTGAAATTGGCAGATGTTTGCAAACAGGGCTCTCTGCCACCCCATCATGGAGCTTACCAGCACATCGCTGCTTACACACAGCAGGGTCCCACCCCAAATAGACTGAATTCTGTGTCTTTCTAACCCCGCTACTTCCAGTTTGGGCCTCCCCAGAGAGATACTCCCCTAAACAGGGACAGGGGCCCAGATAGCAATCCTATAAAAGTTTCAGGGGACCCAGGTTAGGACCTAAAGAGATATACTATAGAACAGTGAGGTTCAGGGACTCCACATTTCTTGGGCTCTTAGTTACATGCATGGCATTGTATGAAATTCTTATATATATATATATAATATATATACATATATATATATATATAAGCTTATTTAAAGTCTCTGAAAAATCACATAAAACAGGTATCCATCACTTTTCCAAACTCAGGAACAAAATAGAATTGGATAGTGAGGGAAACTTATATATATCTCTTTGATATAGGAAAGAAAACAGAGAAATTAAGTAACTTGTTTAGGGCTGCACAGCACCTCCCAACAGGACATTTTCTCCTGCTCCTCTGATTTGATAGAAAAGTTCTTCTTCCTCATGAGGTCTGGTCCCCAAGCACCCCCCTTGGCACCGTGCCCCAGGTCCTTACCCAAGGCTTCAGGCTCATCTTTCTTTTTCCTTGAGGTGGTGCTCTGGGTGGGCTCAGCCCAGGGGCTACCAGTTCCTGTGGGGAGCAGCTGGAAGGTGGGGTCTAGTTCCAGAATCATCTGGTTGAGGCTCTCCAGTGAGAAGTCAATGTAGGAGTCGAGGTCCTCCAGGGTCCCTGAGGTCTGCTCCCCAGGGGACTGCAGGAGGCAGCTGGCTTTGGCTCTAGCCTGTGGACCCTGCTGGAGCCTGCTGGGGGGCCCCTTGAAGGGTGTGGGGGCCATCAGGGCCTGGGCTCCCCAACCTTCTGTGGTATAGTAGGGACACTGCAGTGGCAGGCCGGGGCTGGGTGCTGGGTGCAGGGCCCTCCTGGGTTCTTCGCAGGGAGACAAGCCAACTGCATGGCCTCCTGCCAGCAGGGGGCTGGACATCACTTGCGACATGGTGGGGGCAGTGACCGTCCGTTTACCTCTAGCTTCAAACCAGCCTCACTTACACCCCAGAGATGTCACTTGCCAACCAGGAGCTCCCAGGACCTGAAAGAGACCAGGGTTGGGAACTGAGCAACTTTGGTAGTTGAAGTCCCTCCCACTCCTCCCCCCAACCCGCCCCCCGCAAGGAAAGGCATATTTATTCATTCATTAAAAGCATGGATACCGGAGCCAGACTGCCTGGGTTTGCATCCTGGCTCTACCACTTTCTAGCTGTACAATGTTGGACAAGTTAATGAACTTCTCTGTGTCTCAGTTTTCCTTAACTATAAAATGTGTGAAGATTTGTAACATGCTTAGAACGGTGCATGGCACATAATAAGCATTATGCAAGTGATTGTCAAATAAAATTGTTTCAGTAGAGGTCATTGAATATCTGCTATATCACAGCCTTCTTTATTAAATAAATACCAGCTAATATTTATTGAATAATTACTATGCACATATATTACACATAAAGTCTTTTAAACTCCTCCTAACAACCCTATGAGGTAGACACTATTATTTTCCATTTTATGATGTGTGAATGGAGAGACAGAGAGGCCAGTAACTTGCCCAAGTGTCATACTGTGTCATCCAAGTGTCAGAGCAGGACTCCGACCTCAGGCTGCCTGATGTCAGCTGCTACTGTGTGTGGGCCAGTAAGTGAAACAGACAAGTAAGCAGGTGAGCAATTAAAAACACTGTTACCAAGGGAGGCAAAACAGAGGAGACTCTGTAGGCACTGGTGCAGAGGTCAGGGAGGACTTCCTAGAGGAAGGGACTTGGATTCCTAACTGCCTATACCACGTGGAGTTCCAATGCAGAGGGATATCTGAGGTCCAGAGAGGGCGTATGATTTGCCTGAGGTTGCACAGTAAGTTAATGAGAAAAGCCAGGCTCCCTTGTTCCCCATGGCTCCTGTAGGCTCTGTTGCCAGACCTCTCCTTGGCTGGGGCCTGGAGGGGTCGGTGTGTCCCAGGCACGGGAAGCGTGTCTTTAAATGGCAGTGGAAGGGACTAGGCCTCCGAGCAATTTCCTGGGGGCAGCTGAGGACACAGAGCTGTGGCTCTTTCCTCACATGCTCCACGTGGCCCGGGTTTCTTGGGGCAGGATCTCAGTGCATCCTGCAGGGTTTTTGGCTGGGCGCCACAGAGGAGGCTGGGGTTACTGACCTTGCAGAGCACACTGGGGGCCTGGGTCATCACTCAGACTAGAACCTAGGATGCCTGCTTACTGATTGGAAACTGCTATTGTGCTACCGTTTCCTCTGTGGGCCTCAGTTGTCCCATCTGTATGATGGGGATATAATAATAACAGAACTTAAAGTTTACTCATTTCATTTTCTCAGTGGTTCTGTGAGGAGGGTACTCTTACTGTGGGGCTGGAGAGGTTCAGTGATTTGCCTAAGGTCACAGAACCTGCAGAATCCACAGGTGGAATGGGGATTTGAACCCAGCGGCTTTGAACCTGGGTGGTCTTGGCTCCACACTCCCAAACTCTTAACCCTATATCACTACTTCATAGATTTAAGACCCTTTTCACATCTGCCCCTTCTGGGATTCTGGAACCCAGTGGGACAGGCGTGGGATTGAGCAAAAGGCAGGCAGCCCCTCAGGCTCTTGTTGAAACTCTTTTCACTTTGAATACTACCTGAATCACCAGCAGACCCTCCAGGGCAGGGGCTGGGGCTCACTCCTTTATTCCTGGAAACCCTCACCAGCCCACTTCTCTAGCTCTTTCTTTCCTGCTCTAAGATGGAGAGGAGGGTCCCTGGGGCTCCACACTCTGGGGGTGTGCTTGTGTATGTGTGTGTACTTGCCTATGTACATGGGAGGGCTCCAGCCACCTCTGCCTATTCATAGGTCCCTCCCATATATTCCCCCTTCAGATTTGGACTCAAATATCTTTCTTTGTTCCTAAGGGCTCCAGAGGCAGGAGGCCTGAAATCTTGGCAAATCCCCATTTCCACTTCACTGACTTACTCTCTCCCTCCTATCATGAGCCCAGGTCAGTGAAGGGAGAAGGTGACAGAAGGTGAAGTCTGAGCCTCCTCAAAAGCATTTTGACTCAATAGCCCCCCCCACCCCCATCCTTGACGAGTGGCTTCTGATTGCTTCATCCTCTCCACCCAGATCCAGGAAAGCAGAACCTGGCCACGGCCCCCACCCCTGGATTCCTGGCAGCCTCGGAAAGGCCCAGCACAGTGGGGGGCTCAGGGCCAGGCTTTGTGCTCTGGGCTGGGAGGCAGGAGGCCTGGGTTCTGTGTCCATTCCCTTCCCAAGTCTCTGTGACCTTGGGCAAGCCTCTTCTCTGTCCCTCGCCCCCCTCTCCCCCGGACCTTGGTTCTCTCATCTGTACGCTGAGGGGTACAGATTTCATTCTCTTAAAGTGCTGACCTCCGGGGTCTGTGGTCCTGAGACCACCTCTCTCATCTACAGCCTCCTCCCATTTCTCTCTGCTTTTACTTCCAGCCCCCAGGACAGGTGGAGAAGAAGCTGAGGACAAAGGGTTAAATGAGTCAGGCTGGCAAAGGTGCTGAATCTCCCTCTCTTCTTAGAGAATAAAGGCACGTACCTGGTGTCCTGGGTAGGCAGATCGCTGTCTTCACTCCTGGCTCCTGGGACCAAGACTGCTCAAAGTCCGGGTGGAGAGTGAGGGGAGGTGCAGTTCACCTCCCAACCTGTAAGAGCAGGCGGCCCTTCCTCCCTCCCTCTTCCCCTCCAGGCCCTACACGTGGCTGATGGCCTGCAGGCCCCACCCCTCCTGATGAGCTCAGGTAGGGCTGGCACTTGCACTGGCCTGGAGGTTGCTGGGGCTGTGTGTGTGTGTGTGTGTGTGTGTTTCCCAAGCTTCTTGCTTGCCTGCCCCGCTCACCGCCCCCCAACTGCCTCCTGTTGGGGGAGAGCGGTCAGTGGAGCTCTGCTTGTTAGAGACAAGCTCTGCCTTAGGGACAGGGTCTTGTTAGGACTAAGGTGTGCTGTGGGCATTTCGCCCACCATATGCCAGCCAGGAAAGGACCATGGGCTGGCAGAACTAGCAGGAAGTGAAGGCTTTGGCCTAGGAAAGCAGGATGCCGGTGGGCAGGAGACCCTTCCCACACCCCCCTCCTATACTGTCTGGGGTAGGTGGCACCGTGGCAAGCACAGGGTACGGACCCACTGGAACTAAGACTGGGCGTAGATCTTACATTTTCTTTTTTTTCCTTCTTCGCCTGGGAATGGGGCTTCTGATTCAAGGGGAGGAGGCTCTGAGTGTCTGGAGGACTTTCAGAAGGGGCGTGTAGCCTTGCTTCTCTTCATTCATTCACTCATGGGCTATCCTTCTGCATGGTCTCGTCTGTGCCCCAGAGAGGAAGTTCCATGCAGGGGTGATGGCAAAAAGACCAGAAGTCTAAGTGTCCCCTCTCCCTGGCCCCAAGTCCCTCCTTGTTCCGGGCCGGGGTCCCAGAGTGTTGTGCGGGGGTATCAAGTCATGGTGGGGGAGGGCACCGGTGGCAGAGCTGAGCCAGGTCTGGGCAGGTTGGTCTGAAGTGAGGGAGCTGGCAAAGTCTCTAGCTCAGGGACTCATAGTGGTCCCAGCAGTGGCTAATCTCAGGGATGGGTGGGTGGGCAGCTCTGTGCTCCCATTATGCTCAATGGGAAGGCTTTTGGCCTTAAAGTTTTTTTTTTTTTTTTTTTTTAAAGATTTTATTTATTTATTTGAGAGAGAGAGAGAGTGCATGAGCATGCAAGCGGGGTGGGGGGGGGGGAAGGGGCGCAGAAGAGGAGGGAGAGGAAGAGGGAAAGAATCCCAAGCAAACTCCACACTGAGCTGAATCCGATGGTGGGGGGTGAGGCGGGGGGCTCAATCTCACAACTCTGAGATCATGACCTGAGCCATAACCAAGAATCGGATGCTTAGCCGACTGAGCCACCCAGGTGCCCTGGCCTTAAAGTTTTTGATACCCTGTGGCTTTGTGGAGGCACGATGAACCAGGGTCATGGGAGGCCAGGGAGCAAAGCTGGGCAAAGTTATAAGAAGGTGCTCTCTCCTGATGGTTGCGTGAAAAGTCATCTCTGGATATCCGTGCAGCCCGGCTGGCTTGGTGAGCAGTTGTGTCTTGGAATGAAGGAAGTGGGGTGGATGCAAGCTGCAAGTGACAAGCCAGGGTGCATGGTACACAGTGGCCTCACCCATGGGGCTGCAGCTCAGGAGTGGGTGGGAGAGTTGGGTGGGGCAGTGGAGAGGGACAGCTGCTGAGTATCTGCCGTGGAAGGGGCAGGTCAACGGGGAGGTGATTGTGTTGGGCCAGGACTGGGGTTCTGGTGTTAACCCTGGCTGCCTCCCTGGGGGCTGGCACGGAGGACAGCCTTTGTGGCAGTAATTCAGGGCCGAGGGGCCCCCAGCCCTATGACCCTGTGCCTGAGGTCATCGTCTTTCTTGGAATGTGTAGCTTTTTTGGTTTACATTTGGCCACTTCTTACACCTTAAGCCAGTCCTAGGAACACCAATTCCAGCCTCAGCTGCCATCTCCATGCCACCCTGCCTCTCTCCCAACCTCTCTCTGCTCCTCTCCTTCCCCCTGACATGATCAATCCCCCCAAGGGGTGGGACAGCATTTCTTTCTGCATCTATGGATATGATTGTGTGATTTTTCTTCTTCAGCTTGTTGATGTGATGGAGTATGTTAATTGATTTTCAAAAAGGCAGAACATGCATTTTTCTGTATTTCTCACACTCCCTTGCCTCTGACGTCCTGGTTAGGCTACAGGTTTTGTCAATCACGTGGTCTTGGGACCATGGCTTATGGCTGCTGAGCACGGCTATAGAGACACTGGGATGCTGGGGCTGCTGCTTTCTAGCATCCAGGGTCCAGCTTTATGGGTGTGGAGACGTTGCTGAAACAGCTTCCTGATCCTGAAAGAGTTAGGTGATGGCTCTTGAGGTCAACAGACCTTGGGTAGCTCCTGATTCTTTACCTTCCTGAAGGT